ATTCCTATCACTCTTACATGTCTTTTTCTCATGGGGTCACATAATTCTTGGATTGTTTTATCATTCTTTTTCCTTTATTCCTCCCTTTTTCCTCTTTGATTATTTTTTTATCTGTATCTTCAAGAGTACGGATTCATTCTTCCAGATCATTCATATTTGTGGTAATTACTGATATGGACTATTTATTATCAGTCACTTTGGGGGTTTTGGGGGGTTGTTTTATTTTTCTGTTGTTTCTTTCTCCATTTTTTTTTTCTCTGCTCTTTCTGGATGGCTTTCCTTAGTATTTCTTTCAATTTCTTTGCTACTTTGCTGGTGGGCGTTTATTCTGGATTTTTGGTTAATGGTTACCATGGGGGTTTTACCTAGATACCTATGTCTTTATGTCCTTTATGAGCTAGAATCTGCTCTCTAACACTTAACTGTACAGGTTCTTGTCCAGTTTTTTCCTACCTTTTAGTATTGTGTTGGTAATTCATAATATTCTTGCTGATGCTTCTGATTTTGTATTCATGTTGTAATTTTATTCAGGTATTTGTGTTTTTTTTTTCTTGTAGAACTCCTTTCAGCATTTCTTGAAAGGCAGATCTGGTGCATTAGCTTCTGTTTGTCTGGAAAAACTTATTGCACCGTCATACTTGAATAATGCTTTCACAAGATTTAATATCCGTGGCTGCCAGTTATTGTCTTTTAGGATTGTGAATGCTTCTTTCCACTCTCTTCTAGCCTGAAGAGTGTCTGGGCTGAAGTATACAGAAAGCCTAATTTGGGAGTCTTTATAAATCAGTTTTTCCTTTGGTAATTTGACAGTGATGTGTCTAGATGTATATTTTTTACATTAATAATTTGGGTGTTCTCTTTTCTCCTGGACAACCATATTTAATTCATTCTTTAAGTTTGGAAAATTCCCAGTTATTATTTATTTGAATAAGGTTTTTGTTCCCATTTATCTCTTTTTACCTTCTGGGATTCTAATTATTCTCAAGTTCCTCTAATTGAGTCTGTTATTTCCTGCTAAGTTTCCTCATTTTTCCTTTGTCTTGATTCTCTTTGTCCAATGGATGATTTGTTCATTTCAGTCTTCTAGTTCTGAAATTCTTTCTTCTGCTATTTTAATTGTATTTAAAGCACTTTCTAACTTTGCATTAAACTTCTCTTCATGTGATCTGTTTATATATAGATAGATAGATAGATAGGTCTCTCTCTCTCTCTCTCAATGTGTATATATATATATATACACATTGAGAGAGAGATAAAGATATATATATCTTTAGTGAAGAATTCTGTTCCTGGGCCTGCTTTCTAAGATCTGTCTGCTTTTAACTGACCTTGCAGTAGCTCACATAACATTTCTGATATTGTTTTGAAGTCTTTGTGTGCTAGGTCCTCTATTTCTGTATCCTTTACATTGTCCCAGGACTTTCTGTTCTTCTCCTTTTGCTTTTCCATCTTGTGTTCAGATGTTCCTCGTTGCATAGGCATGTGTATTGCCTTATTTGCTATTTGTGGGTTTGTGTGCATGCACACACGTGCACAATTGGGGCACAGGTATTTATTTTGTTTGTTCCTCTTCTTAGCATACCTTGGCATGAGGTGGGGGCAAGAGCGGAGTCTCAGGTTTTAATATTCAGTCTCAGTTTGAGGAGTGATATTGGTCACCTCTACCTCCTTTCATTTCACAGCTATATTCTGTAGTCTTACCTTCCCACCCCATCTCCCTGCTGCTATTGTCTGCTATGGGTGGTGATCTATGAAGTTTGAGTACCCAATTGCAGGAAGATAGGTCTAGATGCCAGGCTTATGCTCTGGAACTAAGTTGTACTTGGCTAGGAGATAGCAGTGCACCTGAGTGTGGTGGTTGGGTGTGTGTGGCCTTGTCACAGTAATTACTAAAAATGGGTGTTATCACCCCACCCCTCCCTCTGCTTCCATTTCTGTGAGGCTGTATAACTGCCTACAGTTTGTGAACTTTCCCAAGGGATTCATGAATTATCTCATAAGTCCTCATCTCTGCTATTGGGCTTTGTTTGGAGGTCAGTTCCACTCAATCTCTTTTATGTTTTCCAAGAGAAGTCTGAAGAGAGAGTTTTCAGTGCCCATCCAGCCTTGTTGTTCCCAATATCCGAGGCCTGCAGAGTTCTCAGTGCACTCATGACATGTTTGCAAATGTACTCAGGGAATTTCACAATGCCAGTGCTGGCTCAGGGCATTGACCCTCAACCCCTTCTGCCTCCCAGCTGGAATATCTACTCTCCTAGTCGTGCTCCCCTTTGCTTGGTCCCGCTCCTTCCCCTCAGTAACCACCACCTTAGCTTGAGATCTCCATGGAAAAGTCCTGAGACTCCATAGACAGAACAAAGTAGCTGTTTCTTCCTATGAGCAAATACTATTATTTATAGTTATTTTCAGGGAGAGAGTTACCCCAGTCTCTCTATTCTGCCATGTTGTGGGTGGAGTCTCTCTAATTATATGTCTTGATTTCTTCAAAACTTGCTGATTGACCTATATTTTTAGGTAGACTCCATACTCCTAAAATCAAGTGATTTTGATGCTCTTTGAAATCAACATAGTGATTTAGATAAGTATTTAACCACACCTTTTAGAGATTTTTCTGTAAATACAATAAGCAATGTTGGGTTTATATTTATTCTTCTGTGTGATTATATCCTTAAATTCTCAAAAGAAAGAATAATAAATCAAAGTTCTTAATCTTAAAATATTAAAAGGATTTTAAAATTTTCTTAGATGTACATTTTCATGTCATTTTTTCATTTAAAATCAGTAGCAACAAGTCTCAGATTCATTGCATTTTCATTGGCATGGAATGATTTTTTTTTTTATAAAATCATAGCACCAGTGGAATTTTTACCATTTTCAGTTTTTAATTCTTTTTTTTTAGATTTATTTATTTATTTATTTATACAAGCACTGGGAACAGTCAGAAGTGCGGGAGGATGAGAAAATTCACCAGAGCCAGAATAGGGAGCAGAACAGGCAGAAGGACCAAAGTACACTGCCTAGGGGAGCAGCGGGTAGCAGGAGAGGTCTGTGCGCCATGTGGGACCCTCACCCGGCGGCCAGGGATCAACCCGCACAGTACAGGCTGCCGGCGGCTTCGCAACCCAGCGCTCAACCGCTCAACCTTCAGTTTTTAATTCTTATCAGTATCACTTCTATTCTCATAGAGCAAAGTTTTTTTGGAATACCTTGAAATAGAGACATACACTCTGAAATAAATATGTATGTACAGTTTTATTTGACTGGATTTTAAGCATCCTAAATTAAGAGCAAGAAAAGTATGATGCTTTTTATTTCAAATGGAAATATATATCACTGTCATTTTTTCCTAAATTTTAAACACATTAATTTAAGTAATCTTAAATAAAATTCTGTTTCACCCTTGTTTATCTCTCCAATAAACATTCTATTAAAGAGAAACACAACTTTAGTAAAATACATTCAGATAATGAAAGTCCAAGGCAAAAGCAATAGGACATACTTGCACGTATGTGGTCCTTATTCTTTGTCATACACAAACATCTCCAACCATAAGCTGAGACTAATTTGGAAGCCGCTTCCTGGCTCCCTGAAAGACATAGTCACCGTGTAAGGAAAACCCATTTAGGGCTTCCCTGGTGGTGCAGCGGGTTGAGTGCTGCAGCCTCTGCAGTGCAGATTTGATTCCCGGCCAGCCAGGGAGATTCCCACATGGCGTGGCAGACCTCTCCTGTCGTGCCCACTGCTCCCCTCAGCAATATATTTCGGTCCATCTGCCTGTTCTGCTCCCTGCTCTGTCTCTGGTGAATCCTCTTACCCTCACGTGCCTCTGGCCTGTACCCCAACTCTTGTATAAAAATAAATAAATCTTTAAAAAAAAAAAAGAAAAACTCATTTATCAGAATACAAGATTTGCTGTGTAAATGAGGATTGTGCAAAGCATGTTTAATACATCATTACCCATTAATGATGGAAATTGGGCCTCAATTTTAACAATTAGTGAAGAAAAACTATAGCTTTCACTACATATAGTCACTACATGCCTGTCTCTGTTTTCTGCACAAGAAAACAGAATCTGCAAAAGACAGTTTTAAATTGCTTTGGCAGCAGTTCATCCATGGATGCTGTTGTCCCAGTGAGGCAGATAAGGCAAGATCTGGCTTTCCTGATCAGACAGACTGACATCATCTTTCCACTCCCCAAGTCCCCAGTCCCACTCCAGGTACAGGACCATATTGTACTCTGAGCACTGGGTATGGTCATTTCTCACCTGGCTCCATACTGAAGTTTGGAGCCCATGGGACCTGGAATGGGTCCTGAGTCTCTTAGTACAGTTGCCTGTCTGTGCAGAAGATAGAAACACTACCTGCCTTATAAGTTGCTTATGAGGTTATAAAATAACCTGTGCCAAAAAGCTTTGTTAGATCACTGGCATGATGGATATACCTGGCACAGAGGAACACCGTGCTGTTAGCAGCTTTCTCCTGAGGCCAAGAGTGGAGACTGTTATTACTGTCACTGATCTTTTAATGTTTGTTACTATCATCATCATTGTTGTACACCATGCACAAATACACACTCATTCTACATACTCCACACACACTACACACATGCATAACACACACACACACTCTCTTGCTGTACACAGTCCACACACCACCCACAAATACCACATGCATGCACACATACTCACACATTTTACATACACCGCACACTCCATGCACATACACCACACACAAGCACATTATATTTGCACACTCACATGACTGTACCACATATACAACATACTTCATAAACTACACACACACACAAATGCACCATATCCATCATACACATCACGCGTTTCCCATCTGTTTCATTCAGTCCCAAGAATGATGGTGGTGCAGTGAATTTGAACTTCATGAATTTGAAAATGAGTTGTACCCTCCCCAGATATTTTCTAAAAATATTAATTGAATAATAAGGAAAATGAATGTTCTTCCTTTCTCTTTGGTACTCCCCAGAACCGAAAAAGCTGTTAGAGCCTCAGATGGTGATGAAGACCTGTTTATTAATGTACAGTTCCAGAAGGCACTTGCAGAGCTTGATGAAGACCTAGAAGGTGAGAACTGGCTTCCCTGTGCTGTGATACTACTGTGGCAGTAGACTTGGAAAGTCTTCTTTTCCCACATGTTGCATAGCCACTTGAGGAAGAGGTCTACAGAAGGAATTGCAGTTCAGGTTGGAGAAAGCCTGGATTTGAGGGCAAGCACACAAGTGCACAGAGTTCCTGGCACCAGATTTGCTAGGGCTACCAACAGCACTTCGGAGACTTAGAGGCAACTGCTGGAAACCTGCCCTGAACAATCCTGATTGTCCACTTTTAATAATCTTATAAACACATTATGGAACAAAAGTCCTCCAGCACCAAAATGAGTTAAGGAAGCATTGAGTGACAAAGATAAACAGGTTTCTTCCATCCTTTCACTTGTTAATATTTGGTGTATCTCTCAACAGGAGTGAGCCTTTTATGGTGGACATCTCATTGCACTATTATTCTATGGACATTGGCTGTCACTTAATCAAAAATTAAACAAGAAGGAGGAAGCATACCATAGAACTGATGAAGGGTTTTGCCTCATTTGTTATTCAGTTCCTAGGATATATGCTAGCAGAGTTGAAAAATCTAAATCAGCCATTCTGTGTCCTTAGCTCTACCTGCCTGTCCTACTGTTTCATTTACTTCTGAGGTGTACCAGATTTGGTTACATGTCTCTTAAGAAGTTACAGTGAGGGGGCATTATCCTGTTTGGTTTGTACTGCATCTGGTGAACAAGAGCAAGACAAGATCCAAGCCCCAATTCCCCTTCCTGTTTCATGCTCAGTCAGTGTTTCCAGAGGACTTGGATTTAGATTACTTTTTTAGTGGAGGATGTTGGCAGAATGCTGTACCTAAGTAACTTACTTGAGACATCATGGACCCACAGACAACTTCTCTGTTCAGTAATGAGAGTGGAGACTCTGACCCCAGGCATATGAAGATTACAACTGAAAATGTAACTTTAAAATGTATGTAAATAACTTAACACAAAGTAACTTTCCCTTACACCCAGGGAAATCAAAGCCTGGGTGTGATTGCACTAAGTGGTTGGTGTAGGAGTCATACAGGTGGTGCCAACCTGTGACCTGTGTTTGGATTTCTTTGCAGAAATGGAAGAAAGTTATGAAACAGACACCAGTTCTCTAGCCAGCAACATAAACGGTGTGTCCAGTCGCTGTACTCTGGAGGCCATAATCCCCAAGAATGATGTGGATGCAATCCCAGTCACATTCATAGGGGAAGTTTTAGATGACCCCATGGACTCAGGGTTGTTATCCAATAAAAACAACAATGCTGGTTGTTTTGACCTGGGCAGTGTAACCAGGGGAGCCCCCAAGCTTTCCTACCAGACTGAGCGCAGCCAGCAACCTGAAAGAAAGAGGGTAGAAGTGTCTCCTTCTGCTCCTTCCCATCACATGGGAAAGGAAATCAAGTTGTCCTTACCCAACACCCATAAAGATGTGAATCTGATTAAAATGGAGCCTGGAGTGACTTCTGCTTCCAAACAGAATACAAAAGAGCAAAGCCAGGACCCAGGCTCTGCCCACAGAGGGAAGACGCAGGCCGTGGAGATAGCAAGTTCACAACCAGTGAGGGAAGAAGGTGATAATAACAACAATGTCTCAGCATCATCTTGGCATAGGGGCCAAAACCCAGGGGGAAGTTACGGACTTAAATATGGCCTCACAACATATAAAATTGTTCCTCCAAAACCAGAGATGAAGTGCTATGACAGAGGAGTATCCCTCTCAACAGGAGCCATCAAGATTGATGAGCTGGGGAACCTAGTGAGTCCCCACACCAGTGGGTGCAAGACCTTTGCCATGACGTCACCTGCTCTGGAAGCAGAAACCCAATCCATTGGAAAAATCAAGGAATTCTGGAGGTCCAACTCTGTGGAAAAAAATTGTCAACTCACAGAGTGCTCAGCTAAGAGGACCCCCACATGTACCCCCACCACACCAGAGAAATCACAACAAAGCAGACTCAGAGCAGAGCCCACCTCCCCAGAACCCAAAGTGATGGTGCCCCAGCAGCAGCTGACCCACCATGAAAATGGAAAACATCTAGAGGAGAGAAGTCACCAGCCACACATGGCAGCCACTTGCCACATGAAAGTTCCAGCAGCTAATGTCACAGAAGTCCCATTTCTCAAGCCCCAGAGAAGGACATCCAGTCAATATGTGGCCTCTGCCATTTCCAAGCGGATAGGGCCCCCCAAAGCCTCTGCCAGTGTGGTAAGGAAGTATGATAATGCTGGGAAGCCCATTGAAGGCAGAGAACCAGCACTAAAGGGGCAACCTGAGGCTGTGAAAGATGGTGTGACCACCAGCCCATCTCTACAGCTACATAAACACAGTGCAGAGTCACCCTGTGGCCACCTTCCCAATACCAACAGGGAAGAATTGGCAGTAGGTATCCTACCCAGAAAAGAAGCCTGCAGTTTTTACAGAAAGTTGTCTACTCAAGAGAGTCCTGCTGACACCCAAAGAAGAGCCTATGTCCCATCAGTTACATCTTCCCAGAGGGGTCATGTTTCTATGGGACAGAGCTGTGATTTCAGTGGGAAGCAAAATACAAGTAACCCCAAGACAAGCTCAGCCTCTTACCCCAAGTACATGCTGGACAGCACAAATCCCCCTGCTTCTCACTCAGGAGATGATCAGAATCCTGGCAAGGCTCAAGTGAATGGTACCAGGTGGGTTCCCATCCACAGTGAGTCTCCTAAATCCCCATCAGTGTCCAGCACAAATGGCCATGCTGGACGGGAGCCTCTTGAACAAGATGATAAACAAGACACATCATGTGAAAATGATGGTACCTTACCATCCAGCATCTTTGGGCCAAAGAAAAAATTCAAACCCGTTGTCCAGAGGCCAGCACCCAAAGACACATCCCTGCACAGTGCCCTGATGGAAGCTATCCATTCAGCAGGAGGGAAGGACAAACTTCGAAAGGTATACATGGCAAGCACATGCCTTTAGGGTGTAGATACTCCTAGGTGTTCCAGACCTAGATTCTTAAGATAGCATTGAAGGGTCAAAGGGCAAGGATGTAAATGAGGGTTACAGATTTCATTTTAAGCAGGACTCTGTCTTACTGTCTATGAAGTATGTGAATGGAAACACATGTTTCTGGGCTCATAACCACTACCTTTAAGTTCCTGGCTGCCTGGAGAAAGATATCACCACTATCTTTCAGCCATACTTGGGCCCAGAGAAGTGGGGAGGACAGTTCAGGGTTGGACTGTCCATAGCTGGTCCTTGAATAAGGGACATGGTCAATGAAGAATCGGGTCAGGACCACACCTTACCTATATCCCAGTCACACCTCAGTAACGACAGGAATAATTTATAATCCTTTCTACCCTTATCTAGATACTTAGCACATTGCCATTGTATCTCATTTAATTGCCACACCAAAACTGAGAATTAGGAGAGTCTCCTCCATTTTTTAGATGAGGCACAGCCACCAAGAGTTCAAGTGATAGACCCCAAAGTCACACTTCTGGGTGCTGGGGTCTCAGGGTCTCATCCCCATCTGTGGTACCTAAAAGCCCGTATCAACTCCAGAAAGCAAGGATGAGTAACAGGAGTGACTTGGAATTAAGAGGCCGTTGTCCAATGCTAATCCACATATATAACATTTGATTTTGTACATATAAATTCAACAAGACCTTAATTGACAATTCTGCTTTCTAATAGGGACAATAAAATTGATCCTGTAGATCCCTACTATTAGGTACAGTTTTCTTTTGTACTGCCTGACCACATTTCTCCAACTTCTGTGTGAAATGTGTTGACTCTGTTAATATTCTAGACAGCAGAACACACATCAGGGAGAGGGTCGAAGGAACCGTCCTACCCAGAGTCAGAGAGTGAACGCTCAGCACTGCTGGCAGCAATCCGAGGACACAGGGGTGCCAGCAGCCTGCGCAAGGTAAGAGAGGGCCTTTCCAAAGTGGGATGGCTTCACACACACCCCCTACTCCTAGCCAAATTTCCAATTCTTAAATAGGTGGGGAAACCTACATAGGAGCGGCCAGACCTACCCCAGGGAAAGGCATTGATGGGCGGCCATTGCACTGGAGAAGTGAGAGCCCCAGAGCCTTCCTCCCTTTCCTATCTGCACACCTAAAGCTAAGAACTCTCCCAAATTCCCAGTACACCAGCATGGCTTTGGGGCTTAGAGGACTCAACAGCTAGGAACAGAACCATCTTCCCCCTGGAAGGAAGTTCTACATCCTCTAGTGTGTTTTGCTCAAACTCTGAGCCTACATGGACTAAGTTTGGAGGACCATGGAATCAGCTTCCATACACGGAATCGGAGAAACCAAGTAACAGGTGTCTTAACTGCTGAATTGAGAGTGTGTCCCACCCAACATTGCTCAGATTGGCTTGTGTAGCTTCCAGTGTGCCCTCACTTGCCAACTTGAGTGGAAATAAGACAGACCACCAAATCCTCTCTCTAGGATGGCTAGCTGCCAGAGAGTTTGGGGATGGTTGGCGCAAAGATCTTAGGGAATGCTGTCATTTAACCATCTTGTTGCTAGGTGTCATCCTCTGCCTCTGAAGAACTCCGGAGCTTCCGCGATGCCTCACTGTCTTCACAAGGGGCAGAATCCCTTGGGCTAGAGGACCTTGGTGTTCAACCTCACCCTCCATTGCCACCTCCACCCCCTCCGGCCACTGGGGTTCCCTCTTTGTCCAGGACGGCATTCAGTGCCAGTGCAGGCCCTCCCAGCGACCTAACAGATGCCAGGCAGGCGTTGATGGATGCCATCCGCTCAGGCACGGGAGCTGCAAGATTGAGAAAGGTGATGATGGGGGTTGAGTTTGGGGGTTGGTGTGGAAGTGTTACAGGGCAACCCCAATATGAAACAGGTTACCTGACTGTGGGTCCTCACCTGTGTGCTTAAAGGGGATTTATTAATGCTAAATTGCAGGCACACACAAAAGGTTAATAAAAAGGTTTATTTATAAGGAAAGAGGAAATGGGGGAAAAGAATAACTTGGAGAAAAAGAGGGAGATAAATTTGTGAATGCGTCCTACCCATTCTGCTGACCTGGAATCCCAGTCACCCACTGAGAACTGGTGAAAAAATAAGCACCATGGGGCCAAGAGGGCGACCCCGGCTCACATGGCTGATTATATCCCCAAACAGAAAACACAGCTGCTTAACTCCTCCCTCAGCTCCTCGCAACCCTCCCTTTGGTGATCATGGGATTTGTAGTTCCCAGGGTCTTGATGGAGTTGGGGTGGAGTCCACAAAGCCTATATGGGGTTTGCACAGAACATCCTTTCCCCCTAACGGAAGCACAATGAAATTTGAGAATGCTGCTTACAATGGCATGTCCACACATTACCCCAGAGCGATGCTCACTCATGCAGGCCCCTGTGAGCTCCCAGGGATGAAGGGAGGTCTGCACCACATTCCCAAACCCTGAAAACATTCCCACCACCCAACACTGATGTCCAGGGATAAGCTGCACAATGGTCTGTGATGTGTCCTAAAGGGCACATTTCGCCCACCCTCAGGACCTCAACCCAAGTGGAGGCTGCCAGCTTGGGTCTTTGTCTTCTTTTCCTCTTCTTTCTTCCCCCTCTACCTCTCCCTCCTATTTGTTTGCCAGCAAAATGTTCAGTTGGAAACCCCTTAAGCAGATCACATGCTTTCTGATTCTGCAGTTTCTACTTCTGCATGTTCTTCTGCTGGTCTACATGTTTGTCACCTTCCTCATCCCTGAAAGAAATGGATTTTTTGATCCTAGAGACCCCACTTTAAAAGAAGGCTGAGGTTGCTTGGCTACTGAGAGCCAACACAAAAGTGCTCCTGTAGGTACAAGGGTTGATCTTCTCTCCTAGTCCATTTCTTGTGAGAATGGGGAGTTACACTAATATTATAATTTCGAGATCCTGAACTTAGTTTTCATGTGTACCTCAAGAAGCCAGTGCTAAGAAGATCCTCATTTTATAAGCAAAGTTAAAAGTCTCAGACAATCTGAGTAATGTGGTCTTACACCAGCTGGACTCAGAGTTAGTCTGAGTACAGAAAGTGCTTGTAAGTGGTAACTGATCTGCTCTGCTCTACACTCTTCTGGGGAAGCAGGGCACCCCTGGACCATGGGCCACATGTGTTCAGGGGTGCAGAGACCATGAATAGGTAGCTGGCTCTCCTGTTTGACTCAGGAGCCTGTACAGTACAGGAGAAGAGAAGCCCATATCCCTGCTGGCAGTGAGGCCCTGAAGGGCAGGCCCCTAGGAGGCCCAGGGATACCCAGCTGTGTCACCTTACTATAAAACAGCTTGAAGCTATCCCCAGGGCCATTGTCAAAACTCTTGGATCAGCCCTCAGAGCTTGTCTGAGTGTGAGAGTGAGGATTCCTAGTGTGGCTCTGGGAGGAGGGACCATAAACATCACATAGGGAAGTTGCCAGCCATTTTCACTGAAAGCCAGCACCACCTCAGACGCTGGAATAAGAAAACATCCCTGACCAAAAAGGCAAGGAGCAGTGGCATATTTCACACTCTTTCCTTAAGAGGGAACAGTTAAAAGTTTTTGAAGATCTCTTTGTTTTCTATATACTTTTTTCATGGAATATATATTGAGTCCAAGTACTTATTTTATGTAGAATTAGAAAGTGAAGAAATTGGAATGAGTCATAAAAATAAAACCATATGAATTCTTAGGACAATAGCCCTAAGAAGTTAAACCCTCAGTCTCTTTCTTCTAAATGTGTCACAACATCAAATTTAAAATGCAGTTATTTAAAAGCCGTTCTCCAGTTGTCCCCAATGCAGTCAGTTGTCAGTCTTGATGGTCTTGTCTAGTCCCTGGTACATTTGTGAGTCTCTAAAATAGTATTTCGCAAAGCAAAATCCATTGCATATCTACATCCTGAATCAGATATTGGGAGTTTTGAGCCTAAATATCCACAGTCATCAAATATTTACAAAGTAACTGACTCTACATTCAAGTTTCACAAAATTATCTCACCTGAGCTTTTGATGTATTTTGAGTAACACTGGATGTTATATACATCATCTTGTTGACTGATTTTTGCATCTTTCAAAATAAATATTACTTTCCCAATCTTTCGGGAGTTGTGAGACACCCAGGATCAGAGAAATGAAAAGTGCTACAGGACATGGTACACTTCGGAATTTCTCCTCCCCTCCCCTCCCCTCCCCTCCCCTCCCCTCCCCTGTCCTCCCCTACCCTCCTCTCCTTTCTCCTGTCTTTCAGAAAGAAATAAAAAGCAAGTTTGAGAATTGTCTAAAAGATTGGAGGATGCTGTGCTATGAGGAAGAAAATAGGGAGATACTTGAGGGCAGTGGAGAGTGCAGGAGTAACATGGCTGTGGGAACAGGCTTCTCGCTGTCCAGTTCTGACTGTCCCAAGGGCAGGCTGTTGTTTCGCACAATCTCAGCATTATTTCAGCTGCTTCAAATGCATTCAGAAGCCCAAGTTTGTATTATTTCTCGGAGTGGTCTAAATACTGTGACCTGCCTTATCCATCTTGGGTAGTATAGGCTGTAAATATTCCAGTGGCACATCAGAGGTTGGATGCCCTGAACAGGCTCATGATGTGTGTGTGGTGAGAGATAGGCCCTGATCACCAGGATGAGTGTGACACTGAAGATCATGTTCCTTCTCTTCTTTATCACTACCCTTCTCATATGTACCACATCCTACAAGAATGCCTCATGGCTGCATATATAGAACCATATTGCTACTCTACCCACTGACCATGGGACTTCCCCTCCCAGTCCCAGCCTGCACTTAGGATCATGTGAAACCTACTTTTTAGGACACTGAATGGTCCTTTTTTCTTAAGCAGCTGATCAGATGATCAGCCTCTATCAGGGACACATGAGGCTGGGCCAGGTCACACTTGGAACAAGTGATTTATTCCCATGAAGGTGTATATTGACTTCATTTTCAAATGTCTGACTATCCTTATTTGAGTGGAACAGTAGACTGTGGTGCCAAGGGACACAATTGCAAATCAAACAGTAAGGATTGACTGTATATTTTCCTTAGATGCCTGAAGAGATGGCACTCTGCTCGGCATGTAGCATAGTATGAAGGTCTCTGTTAACTGTGTGACAATTGTACTTTGGTATGTTATAGTACTTGAACCTCAAATCACTGAGCTTTGTCTCTTATGACTTTTTAATTTTAAAATTTTTTTATTTCTGTATTCCCCATGCAATTGCACCCCTCTTATTTTGAACCCAATCTCTCCTTTCTCCGCCCCCCCATAGTGTGTCTCTGGTTTCCATTGTTTGTTGATTTTGATTTTTCTTTCTTATAGTTATTCTTTTTCCTGGTCCCTTATTTAGGTTTTCTAGATTCCTGCTATTAGTGAGACCATCGGTATTTTTCTTTTTCTTTCTGGTTTATTTCGCTGAGCATGATCCCTTCCAGCACCATCCATGTTGCTGCAAATTGCATGTGTTTATCTTTTTTGAATACTGAGCAATATTCCATGGTGTATATGTACCACATCTTCTTGATCCAGTCATCTATTTTTGGACATTTGGGTTGTTTCCAAAGCTTAGCTATTGTAAATAGTGCTGCTATAAACATAGGGGTGCAGGTGCTCTTTGGAATTGATGTTTCTGTGTCCTTTGGGTAAATACCTAGGAGTGGAATTGCTGGATCATATGGAAGCTCTATGTTTAGTAGGTCCAGAAATCTCCACACAGCTCTCCATAGTGGTTGGACCATTTTGCACTCCCACCAACAGTGCAGGAGAGTTCCTTTTTCTCCACATCCTCGCCAACATTTGTTGTTGCTAGTTTTTTTAATATATGCCATTCTCACTGGTGTAAGATGGTATTTCATGGTAGTTTTGATTTGCATTTCCCTGATGACAAGTGATGCTGAACATTTTTTCATATGCCTGTTGGCCATTTGCATTTCCTCTTCAGAGAAGTTTCTTTTTAGCTCTTCTGCCCATTTTTTGACTGGATTATTTTCTTTGTTATTGTTGAGTCTCATCAGCTCTTTGTGGATTTTTGTGATCAGTCCTTTATCATTCGTGTTGTGTGCAAAAATTTTCTCCCAGTTGGTGGGGTTTCTCTTTGTTTTTGTTATTGTCTCTTTTGCTGTGCAGAAGCTCTTCAATTTGATGTAGTCCGAGCTGTTTATCTTTGCCTTTTACTATCACTGCTTTGGGTGATGTGTCTGTAAAGATGTCTTTGAGGTGCATGTCATGTAGTGTTTTGCCTATATTACCTTCTATTTATTTTATGGATTCAGGTCTTATGTCTAGTTCTTTAATCCATTTTGAGTTGTTTTTTGTGCATGGTATGAGGTAGTAGTCAAGCTTCATTCTTTTGCATGTAGCGACCCAGTTTTCCCAGCACCATTTATTGAACAGACTTTCTTTGCTCCAATGCATATTCTTTGCTCCTTTGTCAAAATTAGTTGACCATAAATCTGTGGGTTTATTTCTGGGTTTTCTGTTTGGTTCCAATGGTCCGTGTGTCTGTGCTTGTTCCAATATTGTGCAGTTTTGATTATTATGGCTTTGTAGTATAGTTTGAAATCTGGGCGAGTGATGCTTTCATTCCCTTCTTTTTTTTTCAAGAGGGTTTTGGCTCTTCGGGGTTTTTGGTGGCTCCATATGAATTTCATCAATATTTTTTCTATTTCTTTGAAGAATGACATTGAAATTTTAATTGGAATAGCATTGAATCTGTATATTGCTTTTGGTTGGATGGCCATTTTGATAATGTTTATTCTTCTGATACATGAGCAGGGGATGTCTTTCCATTTCTTTGTGCCTACTTCTATTTCTTTTAACA